CACGACGACACCCCGCCGGGCGCGCGACTAAACCGTCAAAGTGCTCATCTAAATATATTATTTTGTACACTATTATTACGATCTTCTTATTATTATTCTCCGTATTCCCGGAGACGATACGATCTCGGACGCGTGCCCCCGACGCCGGTTCCCGTTTGCAGCTCGTCTATATAATAATAATAATGATATAATATTATAGCTGCTCCCGCGGTGCATTCGTATATCTCTGCTGCAAGGTACTTCTGCGACGTTTATATTATATAGCAGTAGCTGCAGCAGCAGTGTCGAGCCTATACGTGGCTATATACACTTATATAGGTGTATATTCAACTGTTTGAGAAAATCTAAATGTACCTACATTGTGCGCGAACTGATGCAGACGATGCGACGACCGGAATGTATTTTGGTTTTCAGTAGAAGTATACGTCATATTATAGTCGTACGTACGGAGGGAAGGTTTCTTCTTTATGTAGGTATGTGCTGTCTAATTATTAAAATTCGATTGATGTTTATTTCGAGCAGAGCGTGCGGTAAAAAAAAAATTAATATTTGTCCTCGCTAGGTGTTGTTTAATGCTGCAATACCAAATCGTCGTCATACTCCTACCGAAACAGTGTAGGTAAAGGTACCACAAAAACCATTTTATACCGCACATTCCTCCGTTACGGTACTCGCACATTTTTTGTTGCCTTCCGAAATATTGTTATACACGCGCGTGTTTATTTTTATATTACGTCTCTCTCTCTCTCTCTCTCTCTCTTAATAACAGTGGTGTGTGTGTATGATATGCTCACGCATGTACGTGTGAATCTCTCATTGATGTTATCTGTTACGGCGGATAGTGTTGTTATGTAAAGATAGTGCGGCACACCCGAGCCATCGGGACGGAAGAGTGAGAACCGCGCGCTGCAGAAGTAACAAGACTTGCACACGCATATTAACACACACGCGCACACACACACACCTAACCACCGTACACATCGTATGACGCTCGTGGTTTTAAAACGATTTTTCGAAACGTGTAGACGATATTATTATTGTACATGTATGCGCGAGCGATGCGCCTAATTAACACGGTAATAATAACACACATACGGAACAATGCGTTTCTGTTTTGCTACCTAGGTTTTTTTTTTTTTTTAAAACATTTCATCGTCGTCGTTTATTTTACGGCGTACCTGTTTTTTAGTGTTTGTTACTAAGTGCGGGATGGACGCTACATGCATGATATTATATTATATAGCCGTTGATTTTTCGGACTTCACGCGTCCCGGAACCTCGCAACAGGAGACATAGCGCGCCCGGCAGTCTTGAGAAAAGTATATTATACACAACAACGTGTATTTATATATTTTACTACCGGCCGCGTGAACACATCGCGTGTTATGTCCCCAAAAACGGATTTCCTGCTGCAGCCGGCCTCGTCGCCTATATATTATATTTTAAAGTGAAAACCTGTAAAAATGTTTGGTTATTAAAAAAAAAAAATGATAATAAAAACAACGACAGCGACCATAATAATAGTTATTTATGCACTCTCTGCAGGAGCAGCTGCATGTATAGTGCGCTCAAACGACGAGATCGCATATCGGACCTATCTCTTTATCCTATATAATACCCATGTATGTCGGGCAGGCTAACCACCCCAGGTTTGACGAACGCATTTGTTAATCGTTTTCGCGTTTTCGACAACCGACAACAATTTCTAAACCAGATTTTTTTGTCTAATTGCGATGAAAATTCAAAAAAAATAAATTATCGGCGGGACAAGTCTGTCGTCGTCGTGGCAGTGACGGCATAGTATGACCTAGTATGGAACCGCGTCTATATTATAATATATAACGTGCATGGTGTACACTTATTTAATATTATTCACATTTCGAGCTGCTGCTGTATTGTGTGTCTTTACCTATATTATATTATATAGTAGTTCACGGTCCCGAGAGTCAAACCGACCCGAACCGTTCCGCGGTAAACGCGACACCGCGACACAGACCGTCGGTTCGGTTTCGGTTTTGTATATTTTATAATAATATATATTATAATAATAATGCTCCGAGGCGCGTTTCTTGGTGGCTCGCGTGGTATATCATACACCAATGATTATGTTATATATACGCATACGATAAAACAGCCGCGGAGGTGAAGAAAAAAAAAACGCTCGGTGACACTCCGAGGCCGCGCTCTCGTACCTGACGTTCGGGTTACGTTTAGGTTTGGCATAGTTAAAATTCTAGTTACAAAAAAAAAATTCACACCTAGTACGAATAAATATCTCGAACTATTACTAGAAATTACTATGAAATAAATAATAATAATTATTCAAGACGCGGGTGGCTTATACAAGATAACTCATGCCCCCCCATAGTAAAATATTGCTATTTTCCCGGCGGCGGCGGAGGTAGTTTTCCACGCTCGTTTCCAAACTCGTACGTGATATTGTAATATAATAATGAGATAATAATAATATATACACTGTCGTCCACTCCGACGACAAGCGATCGGTCGGACGCGATAACCGCGGTATACGCTCGCGGTGCCATACCGGTTTGGACGCACGAACCAAGGTTGCTGCACCGAGTCACCGGCGGGTCACGACGATGCGCACGCAAAAAAAAAAAAGTTATAAAAAATCACTGCACACCATTCCGTCGCGGTGCACCAATAACGTTACCGTGCGCGGTATCTGCACAACAATATAATAGTATAATGCATGTTATTGGTATAATACATTGTAGTATCTATGTATAATACTTACCATTATTATAGGTTTATATATGCTAACCATATAAACTCGCGTATACGGGTAAACTCGAAAACTTGACCAATGTCGACGAGTGAGGGGATGGAGGGTAGGACGAGGAAGGGGTGGTAGTTTGCGATAATCGCGGGTGCAGTGCAATCCGCTTCGACAGTGTACAGTGCAGCGCTGTTTTGACGTCATATGGAAATCGTGGTGAAAAACGCCAACCCGCCGCCGCCGCCGCCGCCGCCGCCTACAGAATATAATATATTATAATATTATTATCATCATGCTCTGCCACCGACTCTGCAGCCGGAGCCGGAGCAGCAGAGTTCGCGCAGCGTTTCCTCTAGGAAGATCTCTGTGCTGCGATAAGTGCGCCCCGATCGGGTTCCTTAGAGTCCGTACTCCGTAGATATACAGTGCTTTGGTTACTATATTTATATTTATATTATATTGTAGTAATAATAATGTGTGCGCGTATCGCTTACAAATCGTTTTGAATTACGCGCGCGGAATGTGTCTGCGGTCGAGAGAACACTCCTTTTTTCATATTATTCACTCAATCACGCGCCACATATTATGTACGCGTAATTGGACGTTATACATATTATACAATTTTTATATATTATACTCGTGTGCGCTAGACGGCTGGCGGGCGGGCGGCGAGTGCATAAAATATAAATTGGCATTTTTTTCCGCAGTTTTCGTGCCCAAATCCGGACGCGTCTGACGACGATTTCTATCCGTTTGCCAAATATATAACGACTGTTTTTTTTTTTGTGGTTTTCGCACAAGTGGACTCGAATCGCGGCCGTCTCTCCTCCAAACAGTAAACCGTTAAAAAAAAAACAGCGCACACGTATGCCCCCGGTTGTTGTTTTTTGTTCTCGAGTTCACACTCTCGTGCACGGATAATAATCATATTATTGCGTCTCCCTCTAGGCATACATACATATATATATATATATTACGCAAATAAACAAACAAAACTGCAGAGACGGTGACGGTGGAAGTACCTATACACGCTGCACATAGTTACACATTATAATATAATAATATATATTGTTATGTTATATATTATATTATTAGAACGGGATAAACACTAGTGTAACAAACAACAACACGGTAAATACATTCATTGAACCGGTAACCGGAACACACACACACATACACACATGCACACACCGGGGGGATGTAAACCGCCGCGCCCTCGACCGGGCAGGGACGAGGGCGGTATCGCCGGTATCCCGCTGAGGTATTTTTATTATTATTTTGTGGACCCCGGGGAGAGGACTACTGTCGGCGGCGCTGGCAGTAGCTGCAGCGATTACGACGATACGCGTAGGAAATCATACGTTGTATATTATTATTATAATATAATATATACTTATATACGTTTCTGTGCATTATTTTTCCCAACGGTCCCTTTTGTTCGACTTCGCCGTTCGACCACGCCCCCACTGGAGGTGCGAAAAAGATCCAACGGTCGCCTTCTCCCCCTACAACCTCTTTTAGACACATCAAATAGACACACGCTGTGCGACCACCTTTCCATAACCATGTTATAAACACACACAGGCACACGGTTGTCGTATATAAACGTCTCCACATAATATATTTTAAAATAAATAATAATAATAATAATATGTATGTTAGTATGATGAATGGGAAACACGGAAATCAATTGTATAAACGAGCTGAGAGCTGACGTTAATGATGTTTCGACATTTTTACAGGGAGATAATAATAATATTATAATACAACACAGACACACACTCACACATTCACACACCCAAGTACACAACTCTATGTTTCACAGCAGAAACATTTAAGATTAATATATACTTATATGTATTCTAAGCATTTTTTTTAATATAATATTTGGCTTGGAATAATTCCAATTAAAAATCTTTACTTTAATGATGTTGACGTGTTGATTCTCGTGCTTACAAGACGTGTACCTATATAGTATCGAGGGACGACGAAAAAGTGCGTGTAATAATAGGTCCAATTGTTGGGACCTGCAAAGACACACGAAACAATTATCAAAATTGCATGCAATGCCATCAAATTTTATACCTAACCTAATCTATCGATGACCCCGAAATAAAGCGCAACCCCCCCCCCCCCCCGAATCTCGAACTTGAATAAAACCGTCCACTGTTGCGTCGACTATATTAATGATAAAAAAGACTATAAATACCTCCATATTTTAACCGGAAACGTATTAATAATATTTTGTGCATGTCCGCAGGTTGTACGGTATACGGCGGTGCGGCCGGTGTCAAGCGGGAATTTCGCCGTCGGAGCTGGTGATGCGCGCCCGGGACACGGTGTTCCACGTGCCGTGTTTCAGTTGCACCGTGTGCTTGGCGGTGCTGACCAAGGGCGATCAGTTCGGCATGCGCGACGGCGCGGTGTTTTGCCAGCACCATTACCAGCAGTTCGGGCCGTCGTCCGCGTCGCTGCAGGCCCAGCAACAGCAGCAGTCTCCGCTGCCGAGGACCATCATGCCGCCGTCGATGACGCCCGTACAGTCGCCGTACCCGTCGTCCCGGGCGCTCGAGTCGCCCGCGCCAAGCATCGGCTCGTTTTTCAACGGTGGTGCCGCGGCGACCGGTGGCGGCGGCGCGCCCGCTGTCCCCGCACCCACCCAACCCCGACAGAAGGGCCGTCCCAGGAAGCGCAAACCCAAAGACTTGGACGCCATGGCCGTCAATATGGGTGAGTTGCATATAGATAGTAATAACGAATTATACAATCAGTGGTTGATCAAGAATTTTTTTGCGGGGGAGGGGCATTGTCTTTTGCCAAGTTTTACGACACAAATATTTAAAAGCGGCCCAATTTGTTAACCAAGATGCTAGGCCGATGGGGTTGGGGGGGGGGCATGATCCTTAAATCCACCACTGTATACAATATTATGTATAGTTAGGTATACTTATCTATACTGCGAGTCGTTATTCTGGTAAAAGTTTAATTCGCGCTTTTCGAGTGTTCCAAAATAAACGTTATTTGTACAGGTGCGTTTTATGTGCTTAAAGTATTATTCCAATCAAAAATTAATATTTTCAAAATACAGGAAATGTACTGTACTCTATATATTGTAACAGCCTCTTTAAAATCGCATTAGTTTTTTATAATATTATACTATACATTATTATATAGTTACTATATAATACGTTACGAACCCAAATTTTTGAGAATAAACCCATCTCAAAAATTCAATGAACTCGACTCGAACCGAATGTGTGATTTACTATTCCTTGCCCAAACAATTTCTAATTTATTTTTGTATCTTCCTTTTCCTTCGTCGAATATAGCAATGCTTATTACTTAATACTTTCTATAGTAATTTTGGATATTTAAAATATTAAAGTACAAAATCAATTTGTCATTAGCGTATTTCAAAATAAACCCTATACTACCTACAAATACTTGTTTTTTGAAATTCTACCTAGGATATACGATATAAAGACATTATAATATAAGAATTAATAGTATATACATTATTTTGCGAGAGTGAGGTGATTAGGTCAAATGACAAGGTCGTCAGAATTGTTCGTTACAATTTGATGCATTTTATTGCTGGGACGTAATTATTATAATATATGTTTAAGTTAAGAGTATTATTTCCACCATAAATCTCTGTATAGGGTTTCATCTTTATTTGTTTTTGAATATACGATCCTATAACTATTATCCGATCATTTAAATTCACCTCTATTGCAGGTTTTGTATTTAATGCGTTTTAGATTACCGTCAAATTTATAGTATAAAAACAAATCCGTCGGAAATGAAATTAATGAATAACTGCGGAGATAAACGGTTACGGATTTATAGTATTTTAATCGTGCATAGAAGAAGTCTTCGATTATAATATATACACAATAAACATAATATGTATAAGCATGTAATGATAATACGTTCGGAGTCATTATGGGTTCTATTACTATTTAATATATCATATAATAATAATAAATGTATTCCTACAAAATCGGTTTTTTTTATAACCTCTATAAAAACGAAGAGAGATTAATTATTATTATTAATACTTAACTTAAAATCTGTCAGATTCACACGAAGTAGCCCGTGAGAATGTACACCGACTACGATTAAAAAGCGATATAAAATAACTATACCTACGCATGAACATTCATGTACTACACCTATATACCGTTTTTCCACGTGCGTATTTCACAATGATTGGCAGTAAAAATACATACATCGAAAACGCTCGTCAAAGTGGAGACGGAGTAAAAAATAAAATAATAAAGAGGTGTGCGGGTTTTATACATTACACATAATAGGTATATAAATATTATAAATCCTTATAATAACTACAGTGGGTATTGCATTGTGAGAATGACGTGAGTGTGGGTTAGTGAATTGAATGCACTAAAAATTGCCAAAAATATGCTTTAAACGCACAAAAATATACGAAATCGTGCACATTTAAGTTCTATAAAATTATGTCATGTTAAATTTGTATAGTTAAATGCTTAAGTTCGAAAGTATATCCGCTACTATGTAAGAGTAAAAAAATCTTTTGTCAATAATGCTTTTATTTTATAATAATATTATTATTTATTAATAATATTTTTTGTCAGTAACTTTAATCCATCGACCAGTGTATGACGTACTACTTATGACAACAAGTATCTAAAAACAAATTGTCTTTGGAAATTGAATTATCTGGAAATTAACTTAAACAAATAAAAACACTACTAATCATTTAAAATTTAAAAAAAAAACTGCAGTTTTAAACGTTACAAATTAAACTTACAATGTCGACGTATGTGTAGAAAGGATAAATTTAAAAAAAAAATATTGCCCATGGTTACTAAAAAATCCTCAGGACAGTGCGCGTAATACCCAATTTCGTTTCTATTCGTCTGTTGGTGGTGTGGGAGGGGGGGGGTAGTTCTCGATGACGACCATTTCACACGGCGTACACTGCCTATGTATATAATATAGCTATATTATAACATACACTGCAAAAATATGGAAACAAATCGTAAAAGCGTCGGGAAAACTGTAATATAGTTATAACAATATCCGTATAGTTCCGCGTGAGACCGACGACGACGCGGTGAAATGTCTTCATCTAGTGGAGCTTTCACCCGCGAGGTCCGTCTGAGTGCCGTGAGAAAACGATAGTAGCGCCGTGCCGCCGATGACAACGCGGAGTATTATACCGACGTAGAGGAACATCGATTTTATGACACGTGTAGGTACATAATATTATATTATATGTCGTCGTTTAAAAATCGTATGCACTTAGAACGTTTATTATATTCCCGTGTCCGTATAGCAATATTGTTTGTTATCATATCGGACGTCCTGCGTCGTCGGCTGATAATTTGCAGATTGGTTATGAGGATTTTTAAAGTTGCAAAATAAATATCTCACAACGTTAGATAGGTATTTCGTACATGTACACAATCTCGTGTTCATCAAAGTAGCTGGATTATTGGTTCTCGAAAAGAGTGCTAGGATAGGGTGACAAATTTGTAGGAAATTAACAACCTCTCATCGGGAAGGGGCGTGGTGTGATTATTTTCATCGATACTCGTCTATATTATATTTGCATGCACAAAAGTAAACACCATATTATTATGAAATGCAATATAATTATATTCAATCGCGTACGTTAATACCTAATAATTATTATTAGATATATTATATATTCATATACCTACTATATTACTATCACATTTTATGTTTACGCTCTCATTAAATATTCAACGTATATAACACACTTAACGCCGCGGCGAACATCCAATCAATATATAATTTATGTGGTGTAATTATTTAGTATTATGTTCAAACACAATATATGGTTATATTCCATGCCTGTATAATATGTAATTTATGAATTATTCTTTATCGACCATGGTAAACATAACGTCGAAAAATCAACTCGGTACCTCGGTATACTTATGTTTATTTATTACCATTCATATACCATCATAAAATATAAATTTGGCAACGTGCACTATTATCGTATTGCAATATTATCGTTGGCCACAGAGGCGTGAAGCTGTAGAAATGCAGTTTCGGCAACGATAAAGATCGTCGTGAAAACTGTTTATGATGGGATTAGTGCTTACCCATATCGATATAAATAAATTATACAGCAGCCCAAGTCATGTGCGTGGAAGTCTCAGATCACGGTGCCTGCTGTATGATATAATGCGTTTTGATGTACGTACCTATGTATACAATAAATGTAGGATTTAGGGCAGAAAGGTAATAATTTTGCGTGGCACGTGCACGATATCGATGAGATTAAGGAAAGTCGTTTTAGTTTCTGCGTGTATAAATTCATCTCATATGTTTGGTTAAAGTTTATGTAGGTACCTACGCACGTACGTGGTCGCGGAAAACACACGATCCGATATATTTATATTATATATAACGTGTACGACGCGTCTCCAAGGCCGGTTTATATATATATATTTAATTATTATATTATACCTATAGCTATGTATACTATATATTTTATGTATAGGTGGTATATACATATAATATGCTGTCTGTCCGGTTTTGTGTTTTCTTGGCCCTCATTTCAAACGCCGTCCCGATGGATTTCGACAAAGTTATCGGGTTTAATAATAATAATAAAAAAAATAAAAAATAAATAAAAAATAATAGTAATAATAATAATGTAAAACAAATATATAAAAAAAAAAAGAATGAAAAAACCGTATATATCGGATCCGATTCCCACAGTCCACTGCAGCATCGGATTAGTACGTAATAATAAATCGAGAGACCTGCTGACAGGTCGATGGCCACCGGATAATAATAACGTGTGGCGGAGGGAAAAAAATACACAAACGAACGCCTCTCCCGTGTAATGATCGATCACGACATTTCGCGTGCGTGCGTGTGCTTACCCAAGACCTCCCCGGGTCACCGGGTTTTAATCGGTGACTTTGAGATCGTATACATACTAATAATACTATATATTGTGCACGTAGATATAGGTATATATATACGGTATATTATGTATGTATATGTTGTATATTTATTATATTGTCGTGTGTGTGTCAATGGGGTAGATGTCTCCGCAGGTAATATAGACGGCTGGGACCGGTAACCTGTACATTCGTATAGATGTATTAGTCGATCATCGTTACACCAATTACGCATAGGTAGGTTTTAGACCTTTCTTCGAGTATGTAGTGGAATTTTCAACTCACTCGAAACTTTTAATAGGTATTACCTATATACTATTATCCGATATTAAAAAATAGGTTTTCTACACTATCCGTGGCCCTGAAGCTGCACTCCCGTAATATACGAATGTATTTGCAGAATATCAGTAATAAGTATATAATATATTATATTATACCTATACATATTATTCAATTTACGATTTATGAATTTATGAATCGTATAAACGCGTTATACTTTGAATAATATACACCTCTTGACCATAACGCACGTCCAATGAACTTGTCACCACAAAACCGTATATATTGATCAAAATTTGAGCTAAATACTATAAATATTATCATAGTGATAATGTGATATGCTTATTGCTTATCATACTATAATTATATATACGAATATAATTGATTTTTTCGATATAATTAATGAAATATGAATGTTTTATGTGTTAATGATATGCATTAACATGGGATCGAGACCTTTAAATATCGAGGCGTGTATACAATGATATTTTATTTTAAATTTTTTTCTCGGTTCATTCAAAA